TTCTCATTCCACCAAATTATAATGTGGTCATATGCATGCTACAAAAATAATATGCTAACTGTTCAAAAATATTGTTATGGAGAATAACTTATTCTCCTTTTTCTATTGGAGATTGAAACAACATTAGTCTGCTATGAAAAAATGTAGATCATATATTTAAAATGATTTGTGAACTGAGACTTTATTATTTGGACGAAAGGCAAGCTCTCAGTTAATTGGTTGAAACATTCATGTTCTCCACTTTGTCCCCTTTGTAAATGCTGAGGATGAGTCCTAAATTCATATCTTCTTTACTTCTCCTTATCAGATGTGGTTCTCAAATGATGGTAACCTTGGACATCCCTCTATTTGAATGCTAGATATTAATATATGATTCATATCTATATTAAAATGGCATCTACATGACTGTTGCGGACCCTCAAATGTTATGTAGTACAAATGTGGAGAAGAAGTTTCTACATTATAACATTGGTGTCTATTTAACTTCTTTTCAATTGAAGTGCTTATGAATACAAATTTTGCAGGAAAAAAAAAATTTATATGGAAGATTTCCATGTTCTCTTAAGTTTAGTTTCTCCCTTCTTCTCAACTCTCAAGTGTAGCTTAACATGGAAGATTTACTGCAGCGGTGTTCTCTATATTTTAAGATGTTTTATTTCATGAAAGCTTTAGTTTAACATTAGTTTCTTTTAGGATTCTTCTTGAATGAATGATTTATCTAGAAATGAGTGCATACAATCATTTTACCAATGACTTTATTTTACTTATAGGGAAATGTGCATACATACCACTCAATTTTTATGTATTTATATGTTATGTAATATGTTGCTTGTTTAAAGCGATACTAATTATGTGTTTTTGATTTCATTTAGCGTGCAAATATGTCTAAACTAGATCTTTCACAATCTGAATCATCCAGCAATAAGTTGCTAGCTGTACCAGAAGTTCATAATAACAACGAAAATGCCAATCTTATTTTGCAAAATACAGAGCCAGTAGTACCTCATGTTGTCATTGATAATAACAGTGAAAAAGTCACTACTAAAAAAGGTAAAAAGAAGAAGTCCACAATATGAGAGTATTTTGTGGAGATAACATTTCCGATTTAGGGGGTCCCAACTTTATTTTGGCAATGCATATGTTGTCGATCAAAATTTCAAAAATCTAAAACAGGAATTACTTCTGAACTTCTACGTCATGTTAGAGAATGTGAACAAATCAAAGCTAAAAGTAAAGAAACCGATAATCTTTCTGAAAAAAAGCAAAAAATTTTAAATTCTAAAAAAAGACAATTTTTTTAATTTTTTGTCACTTGATGTTGATGCAGATGTTGAGATCCCGATATTTCCAGATCCAAAAATCTACGATCAACATAAGGTTAGAGAGATAATTTCCAAAATTATTATAGTGCATGATTATCCATTTTAACAATTTATTGAAATCCTTGAATCCAAATTATGAGAAAGTTTTAAGGAACACAATAAAATTGATTGTATGAAAGATTTTTGAGTTTGAGAAAGAGAAGTTGAAAAAATAATTTAAGAATATTCACAGGTTTTCATTAATATCTGATTGTTAGACTTCCAATCAAACTATCGGATATGTGTCTAACTGTTTACTATATTAATCTATCTTGAAAGATTCAAAAAAGAATCATTAATTTCAATGGATTAGATCCAACTCGTGCTGGTACATTCATTTGTGATGTCATTTCTCATTGCTTATTAGGTTGAAAGATACATGATAAAGTATCTACTATTACTTTAGATAACGCTAGTAGTAATGATATTGTTGCTAGCTTGCTCCATTCAAATTTTATGGCAAAAGGAAGACTGTATTTTAAGGGGCATTTCTTCGTTGTTATGCACATATTTTAAATATTATGGTGCAAGTTGACTTAAAAGAGATTCAAAACATCATTTGTAATATTAGAGAGACTATCAAATATATAAAGAAGTCGCCGACAATGTTACATAAGTTTGTTGACATAGTCAAACAATTAGGGATATCAACAACAAATGGTTTGTGCATTGATGTTCCAACAAGTTGGAACTCAACATTCTTGATGCTTGAATCTGCTCATATTTTTCGTAATGTGTTCACTCACTTTGCAAATCGAGATAATTATTTCAGTTGGTTGCCGTCAGATTTAGATTTGGGATAAATATGATAAAATCAGAAACTTCCTTGATGTTTTAAATAACATGACAAAAATGATTTCTGGTTTTTCCTATCCCACTTCAAATATTTTTTACCCGTTGTTATGTATATAAAGAAATTATTGCTAGATGAGTCGACTTCTTCTGATGAGTTTAACAGAAACATGATTTTTGCAATGAGAGGTAAATTTGATAAATATTTGGGTGAGCGTAATCTCTTAATGTTTATCGCAGCTGTTTTAGACCCTCGCTTGAAAATAAAGTTTAGTTTTGTCAGTAAGTACACATCTGTTAAATCAGACTCTAAAATTCAAAAAATTGAAGATGTTTTGTGAGAAATTTATAATACTTATGCAAATGATGTTGTTAGTTCTAGTTCTATGAGTGATAATGTTTCATCAAAGTTGCACAGTGATTCTGTTAATTCAGAAAGTTTTGATTGCATGCTGATATTTACTGATTTTGTTATTTCATCTGACTCTATTCAACCATCAAAATCAGATCTACAAGTTTACTTTAAGGAGGTACTTTATTTGACCAATAATAATGAAAAATTTGATATTCTTGAATGGTGGAAGTTGAACACTCCCAAGTATCCTTGCTTGTCCAAAAGAACTTGAGATATATTATCAATTCTAATAACAATAGTTGCTTCAGAATTAACATTTAATACCGGTGGAAGGGTTCTTAATGATCATAGAAGTTCACTCTCGGCAAATATGATGAATGCATTCATATGCTCTTCCAGTTGGATTAGATCTTTCGCAAGTAGTTTTAAAATTCATTTGGTAATTTCTCTCAAGAATTAGTTTTTAGTGTTGTGTACCTTTTCATTTCATATTCTTATTACTTATTTTATTTTTTTATATATCGTTTGTGCTAGCAAGAATTAATGGAAAATAAACAACTTCAGGTGAATTTACCCTAGTAAATTGATAAAAGGTTCAAACATCTTGATTCGACCACTAGTTGTTGGCACTTTTTCTAATTGAACTTTGGGCATGCTTTGTTGATGAGATTTTATTTTTGTTGAACCATTTGCATATTTATTTATTTTTTGGAGTGGGAAATATCTGGTTTTGTAATGTTGAACTTTATGCTTGATATATGCTTTTATTCATGCAGGGTAAAGATGTTTTGTGGGAACTTTTAGGTTTGCTATAGGCATTTATTCATGCAAGAGATTATATTTTAGCTGAAATATCATCCCTGAACTTTTATGCTTGGTAATTGCTAAACGTTTTTTCTTTATGGAGGTGCTTTGTTGTGCTTTTAAATATTCTACGATGGTTAATCATCTTTGCTTTCTTTTTAACTTTTTAAAATATATTGTTTTCTTTACAACACTTCTGCAACTGCAATTATTTTATGGGTGTTATGCAATTATTTTAATTTGGATTCTTTAAAGTGAAACTTTTCTTCTGCTGATGTGTGCAAAGTTCTATTGAGAAATTTGTATAGCATAGAGAAGATGCAATGAAAGATGTATATTCATGTAGATGTGTTTTCATTTCAAATTATTCATTTTCTTAATTTTGGAAGACAACACAAGTTTGCAACTATTTTAAGATAATACTATAAAAAGTTGCATAAGATGATTATTCTTACTCTTAATTTTGGAAGACAACACAAGTTTGCAACCATTTTAAGATAAAAATATAAAAAGTTGCCTAAGATGATTATTCTTACTCTTGCTTTTAGAAGACAACATAAGTTTGTTGTATTGTTTAGTGCCTCTTGTTGGGATACTGCTGTTCCATTTGACCCAAGCAGTTTTCAACAATGGACATATTAGAGAAGATGGCTTTGGGACTCCGACTTCACAAATGTTGCAAAACAATATTCTAACTTTTATTTTGTGAAAAGTAATCATAATCTTAATACTCATTTCTTATATATTTGTTATGAGTCCTCCAAAAAGGAAAGCGGGACTTGACAAATCCTTTCAGGATGCACAAGCGACAAGAATTTTACGGTACACAATTCTAATATATTTACATATATATTTGTTATGAGTCCTCCAAAAAGGAAAGCGGGTCTTGACAAATCCTTTCAGGATGCACAAGCGCCAAGAATTTTACGGTATACAATTCTAATATATTTACATTATACATAAGAATTGTGTGTTAGGTATGTAAAGTTCTTTTAAAGATTAACTAAAATTTGCAAGTAATTCTAATGTATGCATGAAAATGTGCATTTCAACTTTCAGATGAATTCAAAAATGTGTTATTACATGCTTTTTTTCAATGCAATTCTTGGTGGGCTAGGTCAGTTTGGAATCATAACAAGAGGAAGGATTTTGCTCTTAGATTCTCCGCAGTTGGTATAATTACTAAGACTTAATTTCTTTTGATGTTCATGTTTGATAATATTATTTAAATATTAAATCAAACGATTATCATGAAGCGTTTCCAGAAAATAACTTAGTATGTATAAAATGACATTTAACATAATATTAGAGTGTCAACCCATGTAGAAGCCAAATAGTGCAGTTAGAAGGTAGGAAACAGACTCTGGTATGGAGAAGCTCACAGCTACTGAAACCAATGCAACGAGAGTAGGAATACACTGGAACAGAGGTAAAGAAGCCGGTAAGAATATAAAATTGGAAAGAAAATCCAAACAAATTAATGGCGAAGAAAGAAAAGAATAAGAAAAAATAAAGATTTATTTTAACCTTTGCTCTTATTTTCAACTGCTTCTCAAAGATTACATCAATGAAACTAAGAGAACAAATTTTCTTTATCCTAGGTTATTTTTGTGATTATATAATGTTTTTATTCTATATGTTGAATGAGTTGTGTATCTATTGTTGATATTTTTATCTCAATCATGCAGTGTTGTTGATCAATTCAGAAGACAATTTACTCACCTAGAGGAGAATAGCGGTAAAACTGGTCCAGTAATTTCGCTAGAAAGGAATCATGCTTCTCTTCCCAGGTAATGACAATTACCATATTGATTTTTGACGCGTCTTATACTCCATTTTTAACGAGGTTGCATCTTTGTTGAGAAAAAAAACATGACCCTTTGTTGTGCTTCAACATTCATGAATATTTTTAGCTTTCTTATCAACAGTCGCCTTATTCAAAAAATTATATTGAAATCTGTCATAGGTTTATCTTATATGGTCATCACCAGGGTTCAATATAGATTTTTTTTTTAAAAGTTGCTTCAAAAAAATAAGAAAAATGATAAAGTGGCTAAAACCAAGGTTCAAATTATGAGGAAGTTGATATGTAGGAAGAATTGAATGGTAAGAGATGAGAGGCACAAAAATGTTACTTGAGAAAAGAGAGTTTTTTGGATTGAAATACCTAACATTTTCTCTTTCTCTTTTGCTTGTGTGTGCCATCGATAAATTTTTTTATAATCCTAAGCTTTTGTTTTATGATATGGTTTTAATAAAAATATTTTTGTATTGCTTGACTTACGGGATGTCTAGAGCCATCAAATTGAAATTCTTTAATTTACTGTTAAGAAGAATGATTTACAAATAAACCTTATTCTTTGTTACATAGTCGATAACCATTACAACAAGTATGATGATATAATGGCTTCTTCATTTTAATTTAATAATTTGAGCTATTTTAAGTCGAATCAACTGTCTTCATTATTAGTTAGCTTTAAATTTGTTAATTAATTTATGTTATTATTATAATCATCTTTCATAGCTGAAATTTTTTTTTTCTTTTTTATTGAGATGGCTATTAGCGAATACTGTAATGCCAGTGACTGTCTCAAAGGTAAGACTTTATTCATAAATTTAAATGTTAGATATGTAAATACATAGGAATCGAGTTGTATATGTGTAAATATATCATTTCATTATTAATTTTATTTTTAATGTCTTTTTTCTGAATACCTTCTTACTGGAGCCGACAAAACATCCTGGTCCATTTCAGTTCATTGAAAAAATTCTCGACGGCGGATCCTCTATTTCCGAACCTCCCCCTTCATCCTCCGCCTCTACTATCAGCTTAATCACTATTTATTGGTCGTCGATCATAATTAAGGAATTAATTTAAAGTTATACTTTAAATTTAATGTACTTTTTTTATTTTTTTGAGATTTATGTAAATCATAAAAATAATGAAATGTTCAATACAATTATTTTTTAGATTTTGATTTTTATTTGAGATTGTATTTGTTTTTTTTTGTACTCTTGTTTAGTTTGCACATTTTAAAATTTGTACTAAATTGGTTCTTATTTTGTATTTTTTTGTAAAATAATATTAATATTCTTCATGTAAAATTTTGTATTCAATTTTGCTCTTGTCAAGTTTTTTTAGTTAATCATTTTTTTTAGTTAATAAATTTCTTGAACTTTTGTATGAAATTTTCTCTTGAAGCAGCGTGAGGGAGATTTCGGGGAGGACGAGGGCGCAGCGTGAGGGAGATTTCGGGGAGGACGAGGGCTGGGCCGTAATAAGCCCCCGCCGAACGCCGAACGCAGGATGTCGGGAGCTTCTTCGGGACCGAATCGAATAGCGCCATTTTAACGCAGCGTTTAGCGATCGCAGGAGCGAACGCCGAAACAAACTCAGACGCGGCGTTTTGAAAACGCTGGACGCAAGTAATAAGCTGCGTCAAACGGGGCCATAAGAATGAGTAAGAAACATGAGGTGAGTAGTTAGGTATGACTTGTATAACTTTTATCATAGTTTTGAGAGCTTATACAGTTTTTTTATTACATATTTTATTTATGTTGGATTTATCAACTTTTTATAGATATATATATTTTGAGAATATGATTTTCATGCTTTTGAGTATATATAAATATGAATGAATTATGAAATGAAATATATTAAATATGTTTGTAGCGATTTAGTTAGACTAGTTTATCACCCACTGGTTCCTGATTATGCAAGTCAGGACGAGTGTTAATAAGAATTTAGTCTTACCGGATCATCTACCTCCAACCCTTGGTGGGGGGGTGCAATTGTGGTGTGACAAAAATTGTTGGCCATGAGATTTTGGGCTTGATGATATATCTTACTACATTGGTTCTATCATTTGATTGAACCTATTCTCTTAATAGATTTTGGCAGACATTTTCTCTCTTGGAAACTGGCTATCCAGTGTAACTAGTGCTTAGGTAAACTAGACTTGTAGCTTTTGTTCCAAAGGCAACATGAATGGAATTTGTGCATTGAAGTTACAATTTCACGTTGCATAAGCCAGATGTAGAATTCAGTTTAGCCTACTTCAATAATTTGAAAAAGGCAAATGATGGTAAGCACAATTTATTTTGAATTTGTTCGTCGAAGTTACTATTTCATGTTGCATAAAATGGAGGTGGGATTCAATATAGCTTTACCCCAACAGTTTGGAAAAGCAAATGATGATAGGTTGATTATTTTTTTGACCCAGACCATATATCAATTGATGTACTCAACATTTATAACTTTATTATGGCCAAATTACTTGTCACACTAAATGGAATTTCAAGACATGTTTATGCAGTTGAACAACACTTTATGTCAATCAAGTGCTATTGCTATGTATTTAATTTTCATGTTTTAAATTCATGGCTTAATCAAAGGAAACAACATGCCCAATCACATAAGAGAAGAATATGCTCTTTTATCCTAAACTTCATTCAGGCAAGCAGACCTAACCCCCTTTGTTTTCCGACAAGATAAAAAACAATGAGTATACCTAATCCCATTATTATATTTAACTGCCATTTAATGTTTTTATAGTGCAAATTCTTAAATTCTTTTTTACAATGAAAAATTTTGAGAATCAATTTTAGATGATATAGCAAAAATAAAAGGCTTAATTAAGTTGAAAAGCATGGAAATGGTATTTTTGAGTCAAGACATGTTGGTCGATGTTATTGAATGTTCTAGTTTACCAGGTACAAATGTATTTTTTTGTTCACTCACATTCTTTTATCATGCAGGATATTCGACAAGAGTTTACTATATCTTAACTTCTTTTTTTGGCTTACAACATTGCCGAAGTCATCCAAGGAAAAATTACGTATAAGAATCTTGCACTCATTTTCATATAGCACTTATAGTTTGCCGCTGTAAAGATTTAACTATCTAAAATATTGGCATTTCATGTTCATGTTGTTGACCTTGGAAATTTATTTCCATTTGAATTTGAACGTTCATATTAGTAGAACACTCTGATCGGCACAGTATGCAACATGTTTTGTCCAGGTGGTACAAAGTGTGTATTTTGCACTAATGGTAAGATGAAGTGAGAAACTGGCTTGGTTGATTGTCGAGCATGTAAAGGAGCAGGTATGCATTCTTATTGGACTTTGTAGTTGCTTAATTGTTGAAACTTTATTTTAAGCTTATATAAATTTGAATATATGTTAGTGGCCATAATTTTTTAGTCTTTAAACACCAAAATATACTTTCAATCATAAGCATATGCTCTTATTTGTGTTTAACTAATTTATTAAAGCCAAATGAAACCTAATTTATCCCACTGCACTACTATTTTTATTTCTAATTCATTGTGGATATCAGAATGTTATCATATGTATATGCATGTGTGCACCTTTGTAAAGGATGTTATGATGTATAAAATAATAATGGAGAAGAAGAGGATGATCAACTTCTTATTTGGTCCAAATAAGAACTTGGATGAGGACGAATGAAGCCTTTGCTGAAGTTAGAAGAGAAGAAAATAGGAAGAAACTCATGATAGCAGGAAGTGTCGGTTCATCTAACACTAATAGCTCAGTTTTGTACACATAACTCCTCCCATGATTCAAAGCCAAAGAAGAATCATCCATTGTGTGAATATTGTAAGAAACTTGGTCACACAAAGGACATGTGTTGGAAGCTACATGGAAACCTGTAGACTGAAAATATGGACAAGGGAGAAAGGACCAAGATAGCAAGACTACCAGCTTGATGATACACCATAGTTTCATATCCTCTTCCTATCTTGCTAACGATGGAAGATTTTAATTTTGGATAATAAATTTAGGTGTTTCTTATCATATGATTGGAGATATTCATGCTCTCAACAACTACCAAGAGGTCCACCAACTCAAAATTTATTATAATTGCTGGTAGATCTCATTCCAGGATTGTTGAGAAAGGTGAAGTGAAAGTCTCCAAAGATATTCAACTTTCTTTTGTGCTATATATTCAACTTTCTAAATTTTTATGGAGTTGATCAGCCATGACATGACCATGGAGTTCTCCACTTTCCAAGCTCCATAAACCGGGTCAGACTTTGGAGGCTCACGAACTATACCTGTGAGTAACCAAACTTCCCATGTCCTTTGATGAACAAAGACACCGATTGAGACAACTGAAGAAAGCTGTTGTCATTCAATTCATGAGTTGTGATTAAGAAATTCATGTTGGTTTCCGATCCTTCGGTCTACAAGGGAGTGAAAATTGGAGTTCATCCTTGGGTGGAATCAAGAACACCTCCTGAAGATGGTTCAGAGTTGGAGGAATCCACCATAATTCCGATTGAGCTGAAGAAGATGTTGTTGAGATTCTGAGCCATCGATGAAATCTGGTAGGGTTACGATAGAAGGCAGCAGTAACCTGCAGTTGCTGTAGAAGAGGGTGTAGGACCTTCGGTGGCTGGACCCGATCGACTACAGGAATAGCGGAAGCAGCCTGCAGGAACCACGCTAAAGTCACGCTGAAGACAGGAATAGCGGAAGCAGCCTGCAGGAACCACGCTGAAGTCACGCTGTAGAGGAGACCGTTGAAGTTTTCTCGGGAGAAAGACGGTTGAAGTTTTCTCGGGAGAAATCACGCTGTAGAGGAGACCTTTGTGGGAATCTCCGAGGAAACCACGCTAGAGGAGGCAATTGCGGGCAACAAGGAGTCAACTGCATACGACATCTGCAGAGAAGACCGGTGCAACCTGGATCTAGGGTTAGGCTCAATTACCATGTTGAGATTTAGAATAGAGCAACACTTATTATTGATATGAGGCAATTGCGGGCAACAAGGAGTCAACTGCATACGACATCTGCAGAGAAGACCGGTGCAACCTGGATCTAGGGTTAGGCTCAGTTACCATGTTGAGATTTAGAATAGAGCAACACTTATTATTGATAAGAGGGGTATTTATACCCGATTACACTGGAATACAATAAAAGAAAGAAATAAATAGAATAAGATAAATAGGAAAGAAATAATGATATAATAAAAGGGAATAAAACCAAATAAAAAGCAATACAACAACAACAAACCCTTATCCCACTAAGTGGGGTCGGGTACATGAATCTTTTCTCAATTGCGTCATATTTAGTGTCATATTTTCATTTAATTCTAATAAATTAAGATTGTTTTTTATGCAATATGCCCAAGTCTTTCTAGGTATATCCTGTCTTTCTTAACAAAAGTCGAATCTAAAACATCTACTCTTCTAATCAGATCATCAGCTGGTCGACGTTTAATGTGACCAAACCATCTAAGACGACTCTCTAATTTTATCCGCCACTGGTGCTACACCAACCTTGTCCCGGATATATACATATCGCATTTTTTCTCTAAGTGTACATCCACCTAATCATTCTCATCTTGGCAACACTTAACTTAGTTTTATGCTTCTCTTTTAAAGGCCAACATTCAGCGCCAAAGAGCATTGCAGGTTTCACCCCCATCTTATAAAATTATCCTTTCAGTCTAAGCGGTACTTTTCTATCATACAATAGGCCCGAAACATTCCTCCATTCCAACCAACCAACTTGAATTCTACTAATAACATCCCCATCAATATCTCCATCACTTTGAACAATAGACCCGAGATATCTAAAGCGTTCACATCTTTTAATAACACGTAATAAATCTAATATATATTATATAATTGCACAATCATGTTTCAATAAAGTTATTAGATAATTGTATGACAGTTAGATTCTAGTAGAGGTCTATTATCAGATCATTACAGGCTTTTAGAACTACGAATGTTAATAGTCCTGCATAAATAGTTGCATAATGGTTTGCCTTTATAATTATTAGATTATTGCATGCTCTTTTGAATATTGTAATCTTGCATTTATTCATGAGAAGATGAATGCAAAGTCACAGAAGAAAGTAATTTATGCTATGAAGAATGAAAGTTATATATATATATATATATATATATATATAAGGGCTTATATGTGCATGTTAAGAGGAGTTCATTCCCTTTTGGTATTGTTAAGAGATGCTAATATACACGCTTACGTAGATGTTTTTCTACCATATTAGATAATTGTGTAATTTAAATAACGAGTCATTATATCGACGGTATAATATGGGTGAGTAGGCATATTTCTACCTCAGATAATCATTTAAGTTAGATCACGAATCGTTGTGCTGATGAAATATTATCAGTCAGGAGTTAGATTATGTTTGATGGTGCTCCTCAAACAAATGTGAAAGTTAAGAGTATGAAAAATTTTAAATCTTAAATGATTACACGTTAAAAAGTAAATTAAGAAAAATGCATGTAAAAATTTTAGATTTCTTCTACGAGCAAACATCATGAACATATGTTATAAATTACTATATGATTTTCTAGACTATATTAGGAGAGATCAGTATACATGTTGTTTTTTTTTGTTGGTTGTTGTAGTTTATAAATTGATCACTCCATTGGGTTATCTTATATAACTCATTATATTATTTTAATATTTTTCAGGTTCTAAGTTTTTGAATAAAAGATGAATATTAGAAGAGATAATTTATACAAAGGAAGAGGTCAATAAGATGAGAGGTAAACTTTTATTTTTGCTAATTAAATTGCTTTTCTTAATGACTCTTTTAATTAATATTTAGATATTAAACTTTTCGCGATGGAAAAAATATTAGAAAATTTAATTTAACCGTCCGTTCGTTTGTTTTCTCCCTAGTTATTTACAAGTCTCGGATCGGGTCGTGATAAGTATTATGTCGTCCTTATTAATCTTATGATTTTTATGATGAAAATTTTCAATCTTCATATCCTTTAATAAAGAAGGGAATAGACATTTTAATTTTTTAGAAGATTGATGTCATTATCTATAATGATGATCCCAAATAATTTTTTTTAGAAATAGATAGAAAGTAGAAAGATGAATGATTGTTACACATACTATTGTTATCGAGTTGGTATAGTACATCTTGTCATCCAGCTTGCCTGATCATCTTGCTCATGCTTAGGTACTGAGAAATATACTAAAGAATGTCATCTAGTAGTTTTGATCTTGGGTAATTTTATGAATATATAAGAGATTTAAAGCAAGGCTAGAGACATGCAGGACATTATTATAGGTAATTGCTAGGGAAATGGGAGGCCTCTTATCCCATAATAGTAGTTATAGTGTCATTGACTATGTTGACTTTTCTATTGCTAGGGCAAGGTGAACAGGTTAGGATGATATTGACAAAACTTGTCATGTGGTATATGGCACATAAGTTTAGTACGTAGGTATTGGAGGAACTATTTGTGGCATTAAAAACATGAACATTAGAAGTTTCACCGTTCTGAACTACATAGCATGACGCTGATAACATTTCTCGGGATTTGAAATTTTTTTTTTAGCTTATTATTTTCTTTTAAGTTGAGCCCTTTATATTTTGTGAAATGAGCATATCCTTTTGAAACTTCTTTTTTTTGTGTCCCCCCCAGCCATAAGGTCTTCGAAGGAGTTCCCAACCATCTTTTTGCTATGCCCTGTTCTCTTGCTATAGTTGCAACATAGATTGTTTTTTTTTTAAAGAATTTTGGTGTTCATTTTTGAAAGGGTAAGTGACAATTAGTCCTCTACCTCGAGTCTTGGTAGTTACTATAGCTGCTCTCTTGTAAGTTGGGCCTTACTTTCAGCTCACTTGAGAAAATGCTTCATTATGGGAGGGCATTATTTTCTTGCACGAGATTTGAACGCAAGCTTGATCAAATTTTATGTTGAGATCTACAAGAAACCCTAAGCTCATGTCTCTTTCTATAGGTTACTTTAGGACGGCAATATCATCACTATACTTTATCTTGAGACCTTTGTAGTCATCTAACTCTAACTTATAAAATTTTATTGCATTGAAATATTCAATGATGGATAAGTCGCTTTGTTTGGCCTTGATACACTTGTCTTAATCTCATAGAAGAGAAGCACTATGTTGGTCCTTTGAGTTTGTCTGTCTCATGGCTTCCTAGATTTCATTCGTTGTTATGAGGAACATGTAAACTTCACTATTTTTGGGCAACATAGAGTTTCATAACTATGACATGATAATAGGATCTTCATCCAAAAGTGTATGTTTTGGATTTGTAGGATTTGGGGGAGGATTATTAGGGTGGTGAAGCTTCTTTTTCTCTTAGGAAGGTAGTTGTAATCTAAGATAATTGTTGATATATATTTTTTTTCATTTAATCGACATGAGGTTTGTGACCCCAAAAGCTCTTCTTTGATTTGATTGGTCTAGTTTTTGTCATTAATGATGGCTGACTTTTGTTGAAATTATCAAATGTGGAAAAGAAATAAAGGAATTAGGCTAGAAGTGGTTGAAAGTTGGGTCCCAAACCTAGAGCCATGATACCATGTAGAGAAAGAGAAAATGACGACGATTTTCTTTTATTTACAATTATGCAAAGGATATTTATAATTAGAGCTACCAATACATTTTTAGAAATTGACAATTTCATATTTTTCCCAGGGACACTTGAAGTCATGTACTATTAGATTTCTATTCTTGTATAGTTTTTTCCCTCAAATGATGATATTAAGTACGTTCCTCAAATACATGTCCTTTATATTAACCACTATAATATGACAACTAATTACATCAACCATTTTTATATGCATGATTTAAGACTATTGTAGATAATTTCTTTCATTTAGTCGACATGAGGTTTTTAACCCTCCAAGTTCTATTTTGATTTGATTGGTCTAGTTTTCATAATTAATGAGGATTGACTTTAGTTGAAATTATCAACTATGGAAAAGCAATTAAGGATTTAGGCTAAAAGTGGTTGAAAATTCAATCTCGAATCTAGAGCTATGATGCCATGTAGAGAGAGAAAATGATGAAGGGTTGTATTTACATTTATACGAAGGATATTTATAATAAGAGCTATATATGCTTTTTTAGAAAGTGATAATTACAATTTATTATTTTTCCCAAAGCACTTTAATTCATGTACTATTAGATTTCTGTTCTTGTATAGTTTTTCCCCCCAAATGATGATATTAAGTACTTTTCTCAAATACATATCCTTTATATTTAGCACTATAATATGACATCGAAATACATCGACCATTTTGATATGCATCTACTTTTATTGTTTTCCTTGGGTTAATACAATCTTTTCTTTTTATGAATAGCCTTGAAATGCGGATGAAGGGCATCCATTGTATACTGTATAAAGTACATGTTCAAATCTTATTGGATATAATTTATATACACTTTATATTATAAAGGAGAAAAAAAGATCATTGTTTTATAAATGATGAAGGGAATTTTTTTATAATTTGGATTAGAAATCTTTCTCTAACATTTTCCTTACTCTATCTTATGCAAAGATATTGATATTGATGCTGAGAAACTGATTTTTTATTGTAATATTAATACTTATATTTGTTCTGGTATTTTTCTCATGTTTAATTGAAGAAAATTAAAAAAAATTATTGTATTTGTTGTCAGGAAAGCTTGATCTTAATGAATATTCAGCTGTTTAAACCGAATACGAAAGAATACGTCGTAGAAAATTTCATGTAAACATGTCCTTCAAGGACTAGCCAATCTTTCTTTCTTTACAGCAAATGTGTATCAAAGAGCGGGCTAGCGGGCTGTAAGGCAGAGGCATCGGCACTTGGTCTTGTAGATAGTTAATCCCGTCAATCTGAATTATCAGTCTCAACTTAGTAAGAACTGGCAATACGAGCAGATCAATATTTGTGATTGTTCATTTACATATTGATCTTCCAAAATATTTATTCAAATTTTTCAATATTTAAATGAAAATGTATCCCATGACTCATGCTTTTAATCCCTCTTCCATCTTTGTAGAAAGGTTTATCCTCTTTTCCACTCTGTTCCCTTCTTTATTCCCACAAGCCAAGGCTTATTTGCCCTAAGAACAAAATATCGCTTGTAGCATGATGATGTTATTAGCGGAGATGTTGTCATAATCAGATTGAATTTAGAATAATATAATTTCTTAAGTTATTAGAGCTTATGTGGATGCTTAAAGTAAAACTTTTTTTTAATGAATCTTGCCACCTCAACTAATTATCGTCAACAAGAAAATCACAAGAGCTAACTCATTTGCTATTGGATGAAGAGAATTGGATTATAAACGAGATTATAGACTTCTCTGTGTTCATGTGCATGGAAGTGGAGCAAGTTAAGCTAATGTTGCATACACTTAGAATGTTTATTGATCCGATAGATACAAACTTTCTTTTTTCCCGAACTTTTCTTTGATTTTGTGACGGATAAAATTAGAGAAAGTCGTCTTTAGATGGTTTGGTCACATTAAACGTCAACCATATGATGATTCGATTAGGAGAGTAGATGTTTTAGATTCGTCTTATGTTAAGAAAGGCAGAGGTAGACCTCGGAAGACTTGGGCTTATTGTATAAAAAATGATCTTAATTTATTAGAACTAAATGAAAATATGAATGGATAAAAAGGATTCATGTAGCCGACCCCACGTAGTGGGATTCAGGCTTTGTTGTTCTTGTTGATCTTTAGCTGTGTAATCAGCATTGGATTTTATTTTTGTAGGGCTTATCCTCTGTAAGAGATGTGGTGGTTCTGGATATTCAAGGCGCCTGTGAAGTTGATGTGTGGTTCATGGTAATTCAAAGCCAGAAGCATAAAAATAAGAGGCTGCTGATCATATTGCTTTGAAGGTGGCTTTGAAAAATGTAAGTACTGGCTTTTTTGTCATTATCTTGTACATGCTCTGATGTCTCACTGGTTCTATGCTACATTTGTAAATATTATGTTTCTATTATTCAATCTTTTGTTAGCTGACTTCATTAGTAAATTGTAATATAGTATGGTTGTAAATATTATGTTGTTCCTTGTTTGTTCATTGATGGAATAGCGGGTGAGCGAACAACTATGTATAGAAAAAAGAGCTCATGTTTGAGGAAAAATTTTCTATCCAGACTCCGGAGGTAGCTCTACGTGCGGACTTCCAGTAATATACCGTCATGTGTGTTATATCAAGCCTACCTAAAAAAATATTAAAGTAGAACTGTGGACTCCGCAATAATCTCAAACCTTGAAAAAATCTCCGCAGTTTCACTTCAATTACTCCAAAATAACTCAGAATTAACCTTAAAATAACCTCTCAGTGTTATTTTGGGGTTATTGAAATGAAATTACATACGTTATTTTGAGATTATTTCTTGGTTATTTTGGGTTATTGAAGTGGAATATATGAGTTTCTCTTCAATAATCCCGAAATGACCTCCGTTATTTCACTTCAATAACCCCGAAATAACCTCCAGGATGTAACACACATGGCGACATATTATTGGAGTCTGCAAGTAGAGCTACGTCCAGAAAAATTTTCCTTGTTTGATGAGTAATTTATTGCAGATTTTTTGGAAAAAGAGAAGTAAAATTTAAACATAATTTTTACGAATTTTCATTTCTAACACCTTAGAGTTCTATAAAATATTCACATTGGTGTGATAAAATTATGCATAAGAAGGTGCAATTGACTTTTCAAAAGTGGTCTTTTACACGCATACCCCACAAATTCAATGTATTAACATATTTAATAGCCAAACTGTATTTTTACATTATATCACTCAAATAATTTATCACATAAAAAATATCACCATTTTAACTTTTAAAAATTGAAATACTTATTTTGAAACAGCTGGTGAGCTGAGAACAGCTATATATAAAAAAAAGAGCTAATGTTTGATGAGTAATTCTTTAGAGAGTTTTAGGAAAAGAAGAAGTCAATTTTACATGCATATAACATAATTCTTGTGAATCAACATATTTAAAACCTTAACTTTTATATTTACATATATAAAATTTTGGTTATAAGAAATCTTCATAAAAAGGTATATTTGGCTTTTAGAAAGGGGCATTTACATAAATATCACACAATTCCACTATATTTACATATC